GTGGGCAGGAGCGGGTGATGGGGAAGGTGCAGGGCCCTTTGGGTTCACTGTGGCTCTGTTGCAGGTGGCGTTATGAAGTCCTGTTCGTTCAGGTCCTTCTGCGAGCGGGCACGGAGGGACGGGGCCAGAGCACCTGGGATGAGCGTTCACTGCTGCTACTCAAGCAACTGCAATGCAAAAAGCCTGGCTTCAGGAGTCACCAGCTCCGTGAGCTACTTCTCTCTCCTTGTCTTGACATTGTTGGGGCACCCGTTGTTGAAGTTGACATGAAGAGGAGGAGTGGGGGGAAGAGTGTCCTGAAGCAACAAGTCTGCCTTTATAGAAAAGGATGATTGCATTTCCTAATCGCATTGCTCCATGTACTATATTTCTCAGGCAAAAAAAAAGCAGTAGGCAGACCTGACATGTTCAGATAAAAATTGTTTCATCTGCTAAATATGTCTTGACCTATACGTAAGTAACGCTGCCCTCTTCTTGTGTATAAGGGGTTGATTGTGTGAATATGTAACATTTTCCTACAATTTAGACAGTACATATAAAGAGAAAAAGAAATCTTAGCTGCAAGTAGCCCCATAGTAGGGTAAAGGATCAGTATCTTCCAAATGCTGTTTACTGTTGGCAGACATTCAAAAGCAAGCTAGAATTTTCAAGCACAAAGTGACGGAAAATTCTAGCAAGCAAATTAGTCTTTCAGAGAACATTTGCGAGCTTGACAAAACCAGAAAACTTGAAATAAAGATGATTTAGTATTAATACAAACTCGGAAGGTCATTAAGAACAATGCAAGGAGGTGTGTTATGTATATTTGCTGCAGAAAGCCCTTCCAGGCCTCTTTCCTGATCTTTTGAGAATCTTACCACAACATTGGAGGAAAAGAAAAAAAAAAAAAAAAAGCTTGGAAGTTGTTTTGAACTGGTAAACTCTCTCCAAAGATCAGCTCATTCTACTTCTACTGCCTGTTTGAGAACAAGTGGTTAATCCCTCTTTTGCAGGCAAATTATAACCCTGGTAATAACTTTTTTTTTAATCCAAATTCTTGCTGTTTCAACTGTAGTTAATTCTTTACTGTCCTAAACTTCATTCTTTGAGAGTAAGAGTATATATCTCCCCCTTCAGTTATGCGATCGAGTTGATCTGTGGTGGTTTATGTATCCTTTTCATTTTGCAAAGTGAATGAAATTACTTGGAGATCTTCAGAGATGTAAGGAACTAAATCAGCATTTTTAATAATCCCATTCATTGCAGTTTTACCAAGTAAATGATCCAGAACAGGCCACATCGCAGAAGGCATTGTGCATCACTGGCTAGTAGGCAGACGGTCCTTTGAAGTGGATATGTAGAAACTAGGCGAGACAAGGGGTGACAGAATGCACGATGTGACCGCACTACGCAGGGTCCGTGGTACCAGAGAGCAGGGTGGTACCTCCTTTGGTTCAAAACTCAAGAGGGACAGACGAGCAGCCGAGTGATATTTGTAGATTTTAATGTCCAGCTGTGATGGTCTGGTTGAATCTCTGGCATGCCACATGCATAGGACTGGCTTAAATGAAGTAGAGGTGTTCTTTAGAGTTCTAGTTCTAGTTGCACAGTTGGAGGAAGATTTGGTCATCAAGTTTATGGAACTCACAAAATATGTGGCAAAGTGGTTTTTCCACTAGCTTCGTGTTGTGACTTTTTTTCAGTAGAATGACTTGAAAAATCAATTCCAGGCAGCATGTCATAGCATTCTGCACATTCACAAATATTTTATTAAGGTTGCAAACCCTATAGCTGCTTCAAGTGAAATCAGTGGAACCTCCTTGTAGAGTTTAACCCCAGCCTGCCTGGTAGCTGTTGCCCGGCACAGGACCAGCCTGTCTCCGTGTTTTATTGTACTCTTCCCTCTGTATGGATCCTCTCATCATTGTCTGTAGATTGTGGCTTCAGACTGGGCTCTCGGACAAGGCGGTTCTGGTCTGTGCTTAGTTGCTAGGCACAAGTCTGATAAAGCTGTTGACTATAAAGGTTGCAACAATGCAACAGATCTTGGCCGAGAATGTTAATTTAGACTTAAATACCTCATCTGTGTAAAAATCACGTTGGTTTAAGTATTTCTCATTTCATTCTCAGCTTGAATCAGTTCCTTCAATCTGTTCTGCTACAGGAAATGTGTGTTGTTTGTATCTTTATTTGCTGATTGTTCTGTAATGATAAATCTGTACTGAATGTAATCTCTGTATATGCTCGGTGCATTTCCATAATGAGAAAATAAAATACATGCAATGGTTGACAATGTCTCTCGATAAACAAAACTGCATTTTTTAATTGGGATTTCCAGTTGCATCTGGTGTTCTGTATTCTAGCAGGAATTCTGTTTTTTTTTCTGTGGGATGTAGTTCTTAAATCTGTTAGATAAAGTAGTGAATGTTGATAGTTTTCTGCCTGTGTTATTTCCACGATAAAATAAGAAGGTAAGGCTCTATCCTCTTGACAAACACCATCTGTTGTTCCTGACTACAGCCAGGACTCGGAGCTTCAGGCAGCTCACAGCCTCCCACTGCCTCCGTTTGATTCTGCCACCCAGCACGTAACGGGCTGTGTTTTGCTTTTTGTGGGTCTGACATTTTCCCTGCCTAATTATGAAGCCCAAGTGTGCATGCTTGTATATATCTAGAACTGATAAATGATATTTATGGACTGATGATACCAGAGAGGCT